GCGTCCCTCGGACGGTCAAGCGCCGTGGGGGTTTGTAGCCGAGCTATATTTCGGCGCAAACAACATTAGAGAGATGGCCAATACTGTAGAAGATAACGGAGCTTACATCGGACATTGACGCCACCTTGCCCCTCGACAAGACTTCCAGTGCGGTCTTCAGATCAGGATTTGCTACCTGTGCCTGAACGAGGTCTCTTTTCATGTCCCCAACCCATTGTAACGCATTCATATACGCTTGATGCCGGGTGCGAATGAAATTCTGAATGTCGATCAATTTACTAACATCAGCTGCTTGTCGACTCCATTGAGAGAGGACGAGCAGCTTTATGAATTCGGCTCTTTTAGCGTGAGAAAACTCTAATATTCGAAGCTTCTTCCGTATGTTTCCAGGAGACTGATTTCCAGGCGACTTCCCAGTAGTTGGAGCTGTCGAGGGGTGAAATTCATGAGAATTCACCTGCATCTCCGCCATTTCAGTAATCAAGTCCGATAGATCGTTCCAGCACTGCTGTACGGACCTATTGACCAACTTCGTGAAAGGGAAGAACCCCTGTGTGATATGGGGCAATTCAGGCGGTCCTTTAGTTACCCTTGATGCATGATTTGCTGAGACTGTCTCCACGCTTCGACTTTGACTGGCGTTCTTTTCGACACCATTAACATTAACAGGACCATATTGTGCATTGGCGCCATTGAATTGAACAACTTCTCCCCGAGGATGTGACAGTCCATCTTGAGGATAGGTGTTACCTGTCCCGTGTCTTAGTCCGCCAATGTTGGCATTGTCCATGACGACTCCCGGCATGTTCCGTGCATAAACGTGCTCCTCGTAGAGTTAATCCCTCCCCTCCTTTACCCCTCGCACAGCACAGAACGAGCGGCTCAATATGGGGCCTTTCTGATACCGGAGGAACTGGCACCGGGGTAGGGAGGGAAGCTGGCTATGCTGGGTAGGTCGGCCGAAGACTTCAATGTAATGCCATTTATGTTCTCTCAACCAGGGCGCAAACGGTTGGTTTATGGTTAGCGACCGGATCTAGAAACTGTAACTGGCGCGTTATGCGCTCAACGTAGGGGGGCGGTTGACGACTGATTGAATGAACTCAGACCGAGGTGTTAGGGCCTCGTTGCTCTGGAGGATCCTCAGAATGAGGCAATGGCCCAGCGCATAGGCTTGGCTGTGCACAAAAGTGGCTTGATAGATATAACTTAGAATTTGCCTCGATGGGACAGAGATGCGACGCTAATTCGGAAGATGTGACTGCCGTGTGATATGCAGGGTATCGAAAACCGAAGGCGGGGAGCTAGGTGATGTCAGAATAACCCTTTATAAGAGTAGAAGACGTGTAAAAGACATTCGCAAGATGAGCGAGTGAAGCGTAAATACTGTGGGATCAAAGGTGGCGGGATGGATACCAATATGCTTGCAGAAGCGTTGAGGATCTGTGAAAGTACTGGTGGATGATCGAAAGATGAGGCCTGCGCGATGCGATGCAAATGCATGAGCACGGGATCAGCCAGTAGCTAGATTTTGGTGCCTTTGTGCCTTAGTTTTCTGCCCGGCTAAAATTACAATACCATACATTAGCTTCGTTGAAGTGAATCAGCCGATAGTATATGACAGGTAATATAAATACCACTATCATACAGTTACACCGCATTCCAGGACCAAAGGGTTAGGTTCTCCGCAAGTTACCTGGTTAGAGAGAGCTCCTTAGCGCTTTAGATAAGTAGATAAGTACTCGACCCAGGTCTCCAAGCTTCCTCCATCCCCGGCCGCGCTATACGGTTGTCGGACCGGAGAGCTATCAATCAACCTACTACTAAAACTTTATTAATCAGTTCCTGGACAGAGAACATCATTACGCCCTTCATGTGTTGCTTTTGCTGACGTTTCCTCCCTTTTTCCGAGCTCTGCCTGTTACTCGCTTCCAGCCTCACCGTCATCAATAGCACTACTACTATTATCCAGCCAACATCTTTCCTGCAGATTCCGTTTCACAGCAAAGCAAGCTCAATTGTAAGTAGCAGGTTTCTATTCATTTTTAGCTGTCATTATGCGTATAGCATACCTATAAATCTACTATCAATTTACCAAAGCCGCCGTTTGTACGACTTGTTCCAGCGTATACGTTAACCAGCTTCAACAACATTCTACAGACACGCGTGTTCGGTCTAGCTGTTCTCAATTTTGGATATGTGAGCAATTCATAATGCAGAATTGCACCAATTCACCGGAAGTTCAAACCGCTTCCATTCGTCCGCCTCCAGAATTCCCCGGAGATGACACCAGACCGACATCTAAGAAGGAGCTCGCTGGATGGTACAGCTATGGCTGGGCTGCCGAGGTTTTTACAGTGTGCGCTATGGGTATGTATCTCTTAAACAGGCCGAGAAGTAAAATTTGTACACCTTCTAATATACTTTAGGATCGTTCCTCCCCATCACCCTAGAGCAAATGGCTCGAGACCGCGGTGTACTTCTTTCGGATAAGACAATACCGTGCAGTGCTTCTTGGAGCTCTCTAGAGCCTACCTCACCATCGGGGACATGGAACACCATCTTTGATGCCACTGCATCTATCAAACCAGGCTCACCGAGAACAAGCCAGTGCATTATCCATATACTCGGCGTTGAAGTCAACACTGCAAGCTTCGCTATGTACACATTCTCACTGAGTGTGTTCATACAAGCTATTTTGATAATATCAATGTCAGGTGCTGCGGATCACGGAAGCTACCGCAAAATGCTGTTGGTCATCTTTGCACTTATTGGCTCCGTTTCTACGATGCTGTTCCTTGCAGTCGTTCCAAGGCTCTACCTTCTAGGTGGGTTGTTAGCGATTATAGCTAATACATGTTTTGGAGCTTCTTTTGTACTATTGAATTCTTTTCTGCCTCTGCTGGTTCGCTATCATCCCATATTGCTGGGTGGACATGGTGAGGAGGATTCACCCGCCGAGACCAACCATGATTCGACCTCTACCGCCGATGGCTCGGGTCAAACCGACGGAACTGAAACAACATCACTGCTTCGGCCAGAACAAAGCCGCGATGCCTCTTCTACGGGCGATGAAACTCAAGTGTTTGCCTCGAAAACTTCTCAGGAATTGAAGCTCTCCACAAAGTTATCCTCAAACGGGATCGGCATCGGATACATAGGTGCAGTGATACTGCAAGCCATTTGCATCCTAGTTGTTGTCGAAACTCACCAGACAACATTCTCGTTACGCCTAGTCCTCTTTTTGATTGGGCTCTGGTGGTTTACCTTCACCATACCCGCGGCAATGTGGCTACGTGCCCGGCCCGGCCCGCCCCTTCCAAATGGGAAAGAGACTCGTACATGGACTAGTTATATGGCATACGCTTGGAAATCTTTGGGCAGAACAATAATGCGCACTCGACATCTGAGAGATATCGTGTTGTTCCTGGCAGCTTGGTTCCTCTTAAGTGATGGTATCGCGACAGTCAGCGGGACCGCCGTTCTGTTTGCAAAGACACAACTGGGAATGCAACCAGCCGCTTTGGGGCTGATAAATGTCATTACGATGATTGCAGGAGTCTTTGGAGCATTCTCTTGGAGCTTTGTGTCGCGAGCATTCAATCTCCGAGCTTCACAAACGATAGTTGCTTGCATTGTTTTATTCGAGCTTGTGCCGCTCTATGGTCTCTTAGGCTTTATCCCCGCAATTAAAAGCCTAGGGTACTTAGGCCTCCAACAACCATGGGAGATGTACCCATTGGGTGTCATATACGGACTCGTCATGGGTGGACTTTCTTCATACTGTCGGAGCTTCTTTGGGGAATTGATCCCTCCGGGATATGAGGCTGCATTCTATGCTTTGTATGCCATCACTGATAAAGGTTCCAGTGTTTTTGGTCCCGCCATTGTTGGAATCATCACCGATCGTTACGGGGAAATCCGACCTGCCTTCGTCTTCCTGGCTGTCCTGATCTTGCTTCCTTTACCATTAATGCTCTTGGTCGATGTAGAGCGTGGAAAGAGGGACGCGCTTTCACTTTCGAAGGAACTCGAGGGAAGAGCCAGACAGGAGGTACCGGCCTATGGAGCTGTCACCCAATGCCCGTCTCATAACGCGAACCTAGTGGAATAGAGGGGATAGGATGACTCGTAATTCATGTTTTTACTCGTCTGAGTAGATGTGGCAATCACCCGAAGGTGTTACTTTGTGTGGCCGAACGATGGCCCTGTTTGTTTTACCCCGGGTCTAAGGGACTGGATTGATTATTTTAATGGCGCTTAGTAACTATATAGGCGGCATGCGCCGTGCCTGGTGTCCACCAGTACTTGCACCTAATTACCCGGCATAGTAGGTAGACACAACGGTGTGGAGGAGGAGCACAATAAACTGGGCTGCATGTAGATTATTGTGTGATTACTATGGTTAAATAGAAGTAATTCGAGACCTTGCCATTGGAATGTGGCCAGCTGGAAGGTCCGCAGGAGTAGGTTCAACCCTTGGAGGGGGGGGGGTGGTAGGGTAAAGGAGGAATGACTGAATACCAAGTAGTATCTAGTTAGCAACTACGGAGTACAGCAAGTAAATAACTAATTTAACCTAGTAACTGAACCGTTACTTAATTAAGTAATAAAGGGATCCAAATTGGTCGATGTAGGGGCGGTACCTCGGTACCACTAAGACAAAAGTGGGTAAGTAGCTCTCCAGGGGAGATACACTATGGTCTCACAATAATAACTAATCATCATCATGGATACTGGTGTCCCATGTGCCTGAGCATGCACCTATGTCTACCATCCCTACCGGTCAATCGACCAAGTTGCTAGTAGCCATCGGTTTAGGTATCTACCTGGTACTACCCTTTCTTAAGTGAAGTATGCCTAGATTACCAGTCCCTTGGTATGAAGGTCCCTTGCTGTCCAGGGCGGGTCCGGTTGAGCCAGTCAGAATGCTCAGCAGGCCAGCTGACTGCAGAAAGAACAGACTGTCCTCATCGCCTCTTCATAGCTACAGGAGTAGTGGATTAGCTAGTTAATTCAGGCGGATCAGCCTATGATACTACTGTACTATTTATTTAAGAACTATTTGCCTTCTCATTCGCCCCTTCTGCTCTACGCATCACCTGCCTTCCTCTCCCTCCCCTCTCCTCCCTCTAATCCGGGCGTTCTATTGTTTATTTTCATTGACTTTCGAGGTTCTTCGAAAGCCACTGGGAAAAGCAGACATCCATCGCGATACCCCCTCCCATTGTCCCCGACTCCGCTGCTATTTCTTCTGTATTTCAAAATGCGCTCCTTCGCGCCCTGGCTCGTTAGCCTTCTCGGAGCATCCGCGGTGGCTGCGGCTGCTGATACCGAGTCTGATGTTATCTCACTGGATCAAGACACATTTGAGAGCTTCATGAACGAGCATGGTCTCGTCCTTGCCGAATTCTTTGCTCCTTGGTGTGGCCACTGTAAAGCCCTCGCGCCAAAGTATGAGGAAGCAGCCACGGAGCTGAAGGCGAAGAATATCCCTCTGGTGAAGGTTGACTGCACCGCCGAGGAGGATCTCTGCCGGAGTCAGGGGGTGGAAGGTTACCCTACCCTCAAGATCTTCCGGGGTGTTGACTCTAGCAAGCCGTACCAGGGCGCGCGTCAAACAGAATCGTGAGTTCAAGCCTCAAAAAACGCTGTCATGTATGTGATGTGCCACTGACCCATACGGTGTTTCCTAGTATCGTTTCCTACATGATTAAGCAGTCACTTCCTGCAGTATCCTCAGTGAACGAGGGGAATTTGGAAGAGATCAAGACCATGGACAAGATTGTCGTGATCGGTTATATCCCGTCCGACGACCAGAAGACTTATCAGGCATTTGAGAAATATGCTGAGTCTCAGCGGGATAACTACCTCTTTGCTGCAACGGATGATGCGGCCATTGCGAAGAAGGAAGGTGTCGAGCAGCCCTCCATCGTGCTCTACAAGGACTTCGATGAGAAGAAGGCTATTTACGATGGCGACATCGAACAGGAGGCCCTTCACAACTGGGTGAAATCCGCTAGTACTCCCCTTGTGGGCGAGATTGGCCCCGAGACCTACTCTGGCTATATCGGGGTAAGTAGGATCTATTCGTCAACCTGGCATTTTCTTGCATTTCGGCTTGACTTTCGATGCCAAGTTTTTGGCTGGACTGGCTAACCATTCTTGAACATAGGCTGGAATCCCATTGGCCTATATCTTTGCCGAGACCAAGGAGGAGCGCGAAAAGTACACCGAAGACTTCAAGCCTATTGCCCAGAAGCACAAGGGTGCCATCAACATCGCTACTATTGACGCTAAGATGTTTGGTGCCCACGCTGGAAACCTCAACCTCGACTCTCAGAAATTCCCGGCATTCGCCATCCAGGATCCCGCAAAGAATGCCAAATACCCCTACGACCAGGCCAAAGAATTGGATGCCGAAGAGGTTGAGAAGTTCATCCAGGATGTTCTGGATGGCAAGGTTGAGCCTAGCATCAAGTCGGAACCTATTCCCGAGTCTCAGGAGGGTCCCGTCACGGTTGTTGTGGCTCATTCCTACAAGGATCTCGTCATTGACAATGACAAGGATGTCCTGCTCGAATTCTACGCACCTTGGTGTGGACACTGCAAAGCGTAAGTCTATACAATCCTCCCGGGCTTACTGTACGAGCGCAACCAATTAACGATCACAATATAGTCTTGCTCCGAAGTATGATGAGCTCGCAGCTCTCTACGCTGACCACCCCGAATTGGCGGCTAAGGTTACCATCGCCAAAATCGATGCGACGGCCAACGATGTCCCGGACCCGATTACTGGATTCCCTACCATCCGACTTTACCCCGCCGGTGCCAAGGACTCTCCCATTGAGTTCTCTGGCCAGCGCACTGTCGAGGATCTTGCCAACTTTGTGAAGGAGAATGGCAAACACAACGTCGACGCCCTTAATGCCGCTCCTGAGGAAGCCCAGGACGGCGGTGATGTGACTGAGGCTGCTCCCTCCGCTACGGAGGCCGAGACCCCGGCTGCCACAGAGGACGAGAAGGCAGAACATGATGAACTGTAAACGGCCTTCCGGTTATGATCCCGCTTAGTACTGTGCCGTATCAATCATTAATTATCTGAAATATCGATTTTCCATTGTTGCCATTTGTAATTTCTTGACCAATCCGTTACTGGTTGACTTTGTTAGCTAAATTGACCAATTTCTATATGGCCAATGTGGTGAAAATACAATTCACTCCACACTTGTCTACCTTATTCCATGGAATGAAACTCAGGCTTGTCCGAAACTGAAGTCCACGGAAATCCATGTGTAGCATTCATAGGTGAGCCCGATGACTGAATCTTACTCTTGCCGTAGACAAAGGCTGGGTTGGCACGTCAATGACTGCAACAGTTGTTAATCCCGACACCGTGACCCCAAATCCAAGCGAAGTGTGTACCAGGATAGAAAGAGCAAAAGAGCAATAAGACTTGGACATCTAAACCATACATCATCACCGTCTCAGTCTCACGCAAGCGGACACGGTGAATAATACCGTGATTCATGACCCAGAACGGTGGCTTGATTTTAATCACGACTTCACTCTATTAGCTCCCTCGGGTTATGAGCAGTGGAAATAGAGACGCAATGAGGGAAAGAGACTTTGTGAAACTTTTACAAAGTACCCAGTGTTAGCATCTACCTGGTCACTTCTGCTGCTGCTAGGGCTTCCAGCGCATCGAGATCGTCTTCAAACTCGTCAACGGCCTCGGTAGATTTGGCAGGCTCTGTTGTTTTGGAAACCTCTTCCTTCACCAAACTAGCATCCGACTCCTTAGCGATAGGATTTTTCGGGGCACCAGTGAGAGCAGGGCTTTGGATGGTGCTAAAAGGTGAGCTGATTTTGCTCTTCGAAGTCAATGACCAGTCGATGACTTCGTCGGCACCATAACGTTCAGCAAGCCACTCGTTGCATTTTTTAAAATGTTGGTTTCCGAACTGCAAAATAATCCAACGTCAAAATCATATGGCCAATAACCGATGGTGACAAGAATCTACTTACGAATCCTCTTGACGCACTTAGCGGGCTTGGATGGACCGATTGCAGAACATAATGCTTCGCTCTATTGATGCCTGTCACACGCTTCCCTGCGGGTGTTCCCCATGCAAGAAAAACAACTCCGCGCGTCCGTACTCGGGCCACCAAGTCTATGGCTTTCTGCGTGAACAATTCCCATCCCTTGTTTGAATGGCTAGCGGCTTGGTGTGCGCGTACAGTCAAGCAAGTGTTTAGCATTAATACACCACGCTCAGCCCAGGGTATGAGAAGGCCACCCTTGTTTGCGGGTCTTTGGAAAGAGGGATAGTCATTATGAATTTCGTTGAAAATGTTGACGAGGGAAGGCGGGGCAGGAGTTGGAGGGCGGACGGAGAATGCAAGACCATGAGCCTGGTTATAATTATGATAAGGATCTTGGCCGACGATGACCACCTTCACCTTGTGGAGAGGCGTATGACGAGACCTAGTATTCAGGATTAGTTACCCCGATTGCTCATATAAATGATAGCGTCAAATTGAAAGACGACGGCGATTTACCATGAGTAGATATCTTCTTCGGGAGGAAAGACTTTAGCCCCCGATTGCTTTTCCTTCTGGAGGAAGCGCTTCAGCGCTAGGAACTCCGGCTTGACGACTTCCTCCTTAAGCTGTGCCAGCCAGCTCTCGTCGAGAGTGTCAATTTCAAGTTGGAGGAGCTCCTTTTGTTCTGGAGTCAATGAGTCGACCCATTTCTGCTTGTTGAAGCTCGATGAAGACAAAGTGGGCTTTGGATCGTTGGGTTTGCTTTTGGGGGCCCCGAAGAATGAAGTGATGCTTCCATTGGCCTTGGGTTTCTTAGAATCGGCCTCTGGTGTCGTCAAATGATTAGCATCACGTTTCATGCCCGCTCTACCGGCCATGTTGCCGACAATCGTGTGTCGCCTTTTGTAGGTGATTGTGAGAAAGTATGTCTCCAGAGAATGGGGGCCAGGAAAATCGATTGGGAAGAATTGAATGAGACGAGGCAGATGATGAAGTAGCGAAGATGAAGCTGGGAAGGGAACTTGAAAAATCACAAGAGTGAGGTGAAGGTAAAGAAGAAGAACAAGAAAGAGAAAGGATGAGGAAGCGAAAAAGAAGGACAGGGAAAGCCCTTCACAAAAGCAATGGACTCACCTGGGTGACAGTATCCTTCGAATAGGTCGAATCGTCAGGAGATAATGCATAGGAATGGATACTCAAGAAACCCTTCCAGCCGCAGCGGAGCACTGGCCGGCAAACGCGTCGCAGTTGCGCGAAACCACGCGTTAATTGGGCGTCCATGACAGGTCCGGACCGTCTGGGAGGAGGAATTTCAATTCTCCGTTCGATAAGCATTGGATGTCGTCACGGCGTAATCCAGTACTTCCCCCGTAAGTTACTAGAGCATAAACTACATTGTAATGACTACTAGGTAGGAAATAAGTTGATCCTTGGAGATCTAGACCATTGCTTTCCTTGCCTATCAACCAAGGTACGTGCAAGTCAACCCGGGAATATCCTTAATGGCCAGATACACGTTATTTACTCAAACTAAGTAGTTGACCTGGTTAATCGATTAGTTACCGTTTTATCATGAACTAGTCGTCGACTTACACAAAACGCTGCTTACCCAGAAAAAATAAGACTAAAAAGCACCTGGCATGGCGAGTCATTACTTTTGAGTCATTAAATAAAAACAAAAAAGAAAAGCCATGGAGCTTACTTGGCTTGCCGATACCCCTCAATCTAGACGCCGGACGCGGGCGTTGCGAGCATGTGCGACTTGTCAACGACGAAAGGTATGTGATCTCCCATTTTGTGGTGGACTGGTGGCTAAATTCTGACGAGTTCATCTCATCAATAAAAGAAACGCTGCCGCCATCCAGACACAGCAAACGGCGAAAGCCATAATCACGTCCTACAGACAGGCGCTAGCAGCCATGTACCGCTTCAACGGCAACAACAGAGTACCGCGGTCACCGGCGATCAACCGGTTGATACGACCCTAGCCGGTAGCTTTAGCATTCCAAGCAGCGTGCCCTCGAGCACCTCCCAAACTGAACGGTTTGTTGGAGATCTGAATCCAGAAGCTGTGATCAGGGAGAAATTGGACTCTGCCAACGCAAGCCATCTGCGCGATCGAATCGGGCTCTGGATCAGCTCCTCCGACGTTCACGGTCATAGAAAACATGTGCCTAATACTGATCCTGAGTGGACCGGACACCATCCCCAAAATGGGCCAGAGTTACAATCCGTCGCGTCCGCGCTCGATCAACAACATTCATCTGGTATGGATGCCTGTGGCCGTTTGCCCCATTCTACCCGCCATCATCTGTTCTCCATCTATTTCAGCAAGGTCAACCATATCCTGCCCCTTGTCGACCAGGCATATTTCACCCAAGCCAACTCGGATGGCGTCGCATCTGTTTTTCTGGAGAGAGCCATTTGCCTTGTCGCTGCTAAAGATAGGGCGGCTGGTCCTCACCTTCGCTTTAGCAATGATGGTCCCCTCATTTCCTCTCGTTCATTCTGCTCTAAACTATATCAAGGACTGGTAGTCGCTTTAAATGTCGGGCTGGAATCTGATAGACTTTGTCGTATCCGCATCTTGACCCTTATGTCACTGCATTGTGAGGGTTACGAAGGTGCAGAAACGGCGTCTATGCACCTGTGTCAGGCCATTCATCAAGCTCAGACGGTAGGCCTGCATTTGGACCGACCGGGTCGGGCACCCGGCGATTCTCTATTCAACCTTTTCTGGTGCCTATGGGGCCTGGATAGGATGCATGCCTGTATTGGTGGTCGCCCAGTCATCCTCTCCGACTGCGATATCGGAATTGAGAAACCGAAAATTCAGGATATCTCTCCCAGATCCGCCTTTGATATCTGGTTTGCAATATCTGATCTACTGTCGACCGTGATCTCGCTTTACCGACCATCATCGGACCATACAGTTGGATGGGAGGGCGAATTCCCTGCATTTGAAGGCATTACAGGCGATAAATTGCAAGATGACCTGGACTTCGCTACACTAGGTATGTCTCTTTAGCATGTCTTCCATCAATCCATGTCTGAGAAGAAATGGTACGGCCTAGCTCAGAGGGAAAGGGGATCGATCTGTTTCCAAGGACGGTTTGCTAATCACGGAAAGAAAAGGTCTCCTTGAGCTCTACTATCATGCAGTTGCCATACTGTCATGCAGATACAAGGTTACCCACCGGTCGGATGAGTCCAGGCCTTCGTATGTCCGCCAAGGCCTTGCTGCCATCCGAATCCACTCCATTGCTGCTATCGAATGCTCCCAAGAGTTACCGCCTTTGCCGATTGTTCCATACGCATTAGCACTTTCTATGGGTGTGTCATATCAACAATTTCGGTCAAGTAAGCTCATCACGCATCTTGATCGAGCCCGAACCAGCCTGGAAGCTTGCTGTACTCTGCTCGAAGAACTGGGCGGGCTCTGGTATTCTGCAGAAGCAACGGCACGACTGGGCCGGAAAGCGTTGCACCAAATTGACGAGGCCGATCTTGGACATCACCAACATGGCCGGGCTGCCAGTCCCGTCACGCCCATAACCCAGAATCCGAGGGCGTCTCTCTCCCCGCCTCCGGATTCGTCTCTCGATCCCGCCCAGGGCACTCTAAGTAATGTACGCAGTGGGGCGCCCTCGACTGCGCTAGGGCAGGAACTTCCGCCCCGGCCATTTTACTCGCAAGATATCAGTGCCCCAGACCCTGAACATGACAGCTTTACGGACATCGACACGTTGTTTGGAGATTTCCTCGATCTCTCTCTGCCCACCAATTTCTGGGACCCCTTGTTCATGGCAGAGCCACCTCCCGGGACCTAGTAGGATACCCCCTCAGGAATTCCAGGCTCGGCTTAGGGCGAGCGTAGTCCTGGCTACAGCATCTTCGGGGGCCGGCATCAGGGTCTGCGCGCAGGTTCGCAAGACCGACGACAAGGATTGGCTCGAATTTGCGCCGATCTTTATTCGCTACCAAGGCTGACGGGCTCATCACTCGGCCAAGCTTACTTCATGTAGCACTTGAGTAACTCGTCGCTGAATATAGCGAAGTAGCCGGCCCAGACAGAGGTGAGAGCCCAACAAGCTTATCAGATCATCCTTTCGCTAAGATCAGGGCCAATGATCAAGGTAGCGGCAAGGCAGGCAGAGTACGCAGAGGCATGGCATGACGAGGGGGCCAGACTAGTTAGATGGTTCGTTAGGAGAGGCCGAGGGAGTCTAGACGTCGACCGGTCTTGACCGGTTCGTGTTGCGGCCAAGTGGAGTCGCCCGACATCAGATCGTCATCTTCCGACGATTCTCATTAAACGCCAGCCGCTGGAGGACCGCCATTGGTGTCCACCATCCGCATTGTCAATGGAATTATGCTTGTGCTAATTACAAAGTAGCCTCAGCCCCGTTTCCATGAATCCTGGCTCTTTTTTTTTCGTGACTCGTAAGGCCCGGAAGGCCATGAGGGCTGCCTGTCGGCTGCTTGTAATTTTAAATTGTTGACCTCCACTTTCAACCAACTCCCCTCCACCCCCTTTCCAACCCGTCTAGTGTCTGTTCTACGTTTCATTCTTCTATAAACTGGGTGATAACCACTTGCTACCTCTTTCATCTACAGCCTACTCCGTCTGTGCCTTGTATAAGCTAGCTAGCTGTCCGGGTCCCCAGACTGAAGATAAACCAACCTCAGCCCTAACTAACATCGGCGGGGTCGATTGGGCGCAAATTCCCACTGATTGTTCGAACATTTTCCTCCCTCGCCTCGCCTCGCCTATATTGCTATCAATTTAGTTCCTGCGGCGGTCCCACCACTCTTTTGACACATGTCACGTCTCCCATGTGCAATCTAATCAACAGCTGAAGCTTGCTCGTTTTCTTTCTTTCTTTCTTTAATTACCCAACGATCAAGCAATTGATCACCCTCGCCCTCACCCCACCCGCCTTCCACTTTGTGTCTGCACGGGCGTGTGTATACGTGTGCGTGTGCGTGTGCGTGTTTCCATTTATATACAGCAACGTGTACACGGAGGCCTGCGGACTCCGTTACATGTCTTCGTCACAGCCATTAAAAATTATTGTCGTTGCTCATATGCGCTCTTTGCTCGACCTGATAAAAAGATTTACTGCAAGGATACTACTATGAGCAACCCCTTCATTACGCCTAGACATCCCGCTGAGGGTTCGGCCGTGTGCAGCTTGATCGCGAGGAGGTAATTACCTGTACAATGCTGTTGTTGCGCAGAGCGAGCAATATCACTATAGCCCATCATTCACGGATTTGCATTTGAATTACGGGAGACGGAGAGAGAGAGTGTGTGTGTGCAACTAGAACACAAGGTCACGGATACTGAACTCCAGTTTTTACACCTATTTATGGCGTCTCCAGCGGAAAGGGAAGGACGGTTGGCAGTTTCTGCCAATGCCCGACCAAGCGAGGGGATCAAACAAACCAAGGAACGGCGACCAGGCCAGTTCTCAAGGCACCCAATCTCTCAGCTGCAGGGACCCTTCGAGGAATCGATACAGGAAGCCATTGGCATTGGGAACGGTAGATGGGTAGCCAATATTGATGCTCAATCTAGGCGCAAAGTCCTACTCGAAAGCCCCAAGTATGAACGGCTTTGTGGCAGGAAATGGCGCCAGAGAGCCGATGAAAGGCAAGCACTCGGTCGAGCTCCGGTCCCTTGAACTCGCTCAGCAACATTGCAAACTGACTGCCTCTAGATATCACCCCCTATGGAAACTCATCGCCCAGATGTCCTTTGGGGTCCACCTCCTAGTTGGAAAACTCGCCAAGTCCGACGTGGAGGTATTGAAAATCCTTCAGGTTCATGTAGACGAGATGGATGGATTTCTTAAGAGGACCTCGGAAGATTTTCTAATCATCCAGATTGACGTGCGCACACGGAGTAAGTATCTCAGCCTACCTCTCGAGAATCTAATGATTTTTGATGAGATGCTGGAGGAGCGCAGTTTCCGTGGCTCTATGATCGAATATAATGACAGGATCGAACATGCCATTGATCGATTCGCAACTGCGATCGAAGATTCCCTGAAAGACATCCAAAAAGGCCGGGAGGCGGTGGGTGCGCTGTGGACATACCTTCAACAGTCAGCCGAAAAGCATAGTCCATTGCCTGTTAGACTACTGGCTGTCTACCAAGCTATGCTCGCAAATGCGGAGGGCTGGAACATAGCACTTTCGAATCTCCGTCGGAAAGGTGTCGCTCTACAATCGGCCCTTCTTCAGCTTGGCCTGGCCACGACAGAACTGCAGCGACGTGTGGGAGTAGCAAGTCGAAAAGCTGTTGTAAGTTACCAGGGTACTGTCAAACCCATAACTGCGTGCCCGAGCTGAGATTTCGACAGGTGTCCTACATGCGAAGTACCAATGGATTGACCCGAAAGAAATCACTGCGGCAACGATTCATGGAAAGAGGCTCATTCGTTAGCGCACCGGCCTCGACTCCGAACAAACCCCTTCCCCGTGCTCCGGACCGTCCGGCGACGGCGACTCTCTCCCGGTCGACTGACCGTAATAGGCTCACGCAGAAGAGTGTTCCGAATCTCAGGGCGGCCAGGGAGAATGACGAGCGTAATGCGCACACGAAGCTACCAGACCGAGCCAAGTCTGTCAACGGTACTACTGACGGCTTCGACTCGGAAGGCTTTGTGCTTAAGCTTCGCCGTCTCTCCAGATCCAAGCTCAGAACAAGGGAACTTGCAAGCGACCATCCTGAACCCTTACCAGTGCGCCCTTCCACTGCACCTTCCAGGGCATCGAAAGCTCGAAGTATATATCTGGAACCACTGAAGTCCCTGCACAAAAGCAAAAGGGAACCAAGTCAGAAGGCTCATACTTCAATGGTGCCAGCCCAAACGGAACGTCCGGTTGCTGCTCAACCTTCAGCGAGACGAGAAACGATGAAAAACCAGTTACTGCAGTATTTCAAATCCGACAAAGTAGTTGATGCTTGGGAACATGAAACGCAGAAAGAGAAAAACAATACCGAGGATTCCTCCCAGGCCAAAAAGGCCGGCCCTTGGAGCGAGTTTTGTGCAGAGTCGTCCATCAATGACGATGGCTGTCTACAAATAAAATCGGACATGGTCGGATCTGATCTGAACAATGATATGGCATGGCTCCAGGAGGATGCTGGCGCGATGAATACTTATTCCTTAAAGCCAAAGAGGGATGTCGGACCCAGGATCCATGTCCTTTCGGTCCAATTTAGCCTTGCGCATGATGATAACGAACTAGAAAACCAAGGCCCTGAAGCGGAGCTTGAAGATACCCAGTCGGTCATAACAGCTCTTCCTTCCATACCAGCCGTGCCGGTGAATACGGAAGAATTTCATCCTCATTCGCTTTATCCTGGATACAATCTCGGACATCCCTCTGAACCTGCCACGGTCTTTACTTGATAAGGCCTGTATATTTTCGAGCGGCTTCAAGCCTGCCGGGCATGCCATCTGAAAGTCCAAGTCCAGTGTCACTGGGGCCGAAGTTCGCCACACATTGTTGCTTGAACAACTGATCCGTTTGCGATGTGGAACAAGGCAAGCAGCAAGTCCTTGTGCCTTTCGGGCCCGGGAATATCTTGTAATACCCCCAATACAGATACTACTCTGTACGACAAATTCTAGTTTCGGCCCTGTGAGCCACGCGACCAGAACGCAAAGGCAGTGCAACCAATTCAACGACAACAAGATAGGGTGAAGCAAGTATCTATCTTTCCTCTGTTGTAATGCGCCTACGTATTTTCGTGTTCACATTGTAGTTAGGTCGCGCCAGACGGAACCTTGAGTACCTCAGCAGCTTTGCGGCCATAGGAGCTCGTCTACTGGCTTACGCGCGTAAGACGCACGGCGCAGTACATCTAGCTGGAACCAGTAAACAATATAAAGAGGAGACATTTACGTCTCGATATTCACACCGGAATTAAATCGTATTAACGGATGCACCGATTCTCCTGGGCTGTAGTCATGAATAGCACACGAAGGTGTTCAGAAAATGATTACGGGCAGTAGACAACAGAAGGTAGAAAAAGGAACATAAATTTTAGAGAGAAGGCGGAGGGGAAGATTGAAGGACGTATAAAAGACGAGTAAGATATCACAAAGACAAGCCTCTACTTGCAGCGTTTCTCGACAATATTCGGACCATGTTCGTCAAACTCCTTCTTGGAGATCCACATCTGATGGAAGGTACCCAAACTGGCGAGGATACTTCCACCGATCCAAGAGCCAAACTTCCGCTCTGCGGTGTTTCCTGGGGCCGATATACGAACGCGTGGACCTGGGAACATCTGCATGAGCTCCTGGTTCAAACGGTCGGTGAAACCGTAGAGTAAGCTGGAGGCACCCGTGACAACGACATTAGCCAACAAGTGCGGGCGGATGTCGACGTCGACGCCGTTCAGCGCATTCTTGATGAGCTCGGGCACAGTTTGTGCCGGCGTCGGTGCGGGGAATGCCGATTCGGGGTCCGGGATTGCAGCTTTGGCGTCGAATAGGGATTCGACGACCTTGTAGCGATCGACTCCGAAGACCTGGTTGTAGCCGTCGGGGAACTCGAAGGGCCGGCCAGGGCTGCTCTTGGCCAGTTCTTCGTTCGAGACGCCGTTGGGTCCTGTGGCGGAGAGCTTGTTGGGGCCCGGCCAAACCTGGACAACACATTCCTTGAACTCCGACAGGGTTCGCTCTTCCAGAAGTGTTCTGTAAGATGCGTCAGGGGCTCTGTCGGGGGCGAAAGTCTTGTATTTAGCTTGTGGGGGTTGGCCGGCATCAACTGCTGTCTTGGACGAGATCAGATAATGAGGAGTGATCGTTATCGGCTGCGGGGCGTTCGACTTGAAGAGAGCGCGGATCTGAGATGAGATATAATCACCACCGAGAGGGGAGTGCTGCACTCCCCGCTTCAGTATCATACCGTCGTGGACCGGGGTTACGGAGATGTTAGAAGCGCCAATGTCAATCACAAGGGCGGAAGCCTTGCCGGCCGCAAAGCTTTAGGCGAGGAAGCATGTTAGCGAAATCTACATAAGACTCAGGCCATCGAACTGACAGGTCGGTACTTACGCTGAAAGAACACCGTTCCTGGCTAGATAGAAGGCCGGGGTTCCCCACTTCTCCATAGCAAGCTCGATAGTCTTCTCGCGCGACTTCGTGGGATTCCAGCCGGGCTCCGACATCAGCAGCGGGCTATCAGCAAGCAGCTTCTCCTCGGTTTCCACCCCTTCCATTTCTGTAGATAATTCGCCCTCCGGCACGTCGTTCAATCCGTTCTGTAGGGGATTTCCAGGCTTTGGGCCCGTCAGGCGCGAAGTGAAGGCATATTCCCATACTTTCTCTGCCATGTCCCAGTCCTCCACGATTCCATCGCGACCCATTGGGTTGTGAATCGACAGACCGGGCCGGGGCGTAACAAAGATATCATCACCGAAGACCAACTTCGACTGGCCATCTGAAGAATATTTCCCGTAGTATGTCGGAATCAGGGATTTGGGTGTGTCCTCCCCTGCAAATCCAGCTCGTGTCGTCGAGAAGCCGGGGTCGAGCACAATCGCCGACACCTCATCTAGACATTGAAGGGTCAGAAGTGCTAACAATAAAGTATCGCGCAAGGAATAAATGTGTCCTCAGCTACGCGCAACAGAGGAATTGACATACCTCCGCCATATTCAGCCGTGGAAGGTGGGATGGAGGGATTCATGGTCGGCGTAGACGAGCCAGGCGAAGGGTTTTAGGATGGTTCACTGCCCGAATTCAACCAACGACGCCGATGTGGGAGGGAAAGAGTAATCGAAATTGACGACGAGCGGTGGGGATCTTGTAGCCAACGGTTGCAGCGGGGCAGTTGGCAGAGGTAGAGGTAGAGAAAGAGGCGATTAGAGCAGATGATTGATTGATAGTGGAGGAGGCACGGGTAACTACTAGTTAACTTGAGATGGCCGATGATTGAATGAATAATCGCGGCGCGGCGGGAAGAGCGCGCCGGACTCTATTATCTACTACTACTACTACCGATTGCTCACCATCTACCGCCATCGCCTCGGTCTTATCTCCTTGTTTCACTGCACATTAATTCCTTCTGACCATTCTCTCCGTATAAATTATCTCTCAGTGCCAAGTGGGATCTTTATCTGTCCCGGGGAATTCAGGGACTTACTTCATGGAGCCAGAAATTGACCCAGCCTCCCTCTTCCGGCCGGGCAAGAGGCGGAAGTTCCAGCGACGCCGGCCAGAGGACAACGACGAGGAATCGCCTTCTGCGACAGAAGATGTTGCTCGTGTTTCAGAATCATCTACACCTCCGTCCTGGCAGGATGCCCCAAGCTCTGTCCCCACAGCAGAGATTCTTCGTTCGCGACGGCTTCAGCGAGCTCGAAAGGGTGGCATCGAATTCTCCGCCACCTCGCGGCCACTGGCCGGTAAGAATAGTCAAACGGCCGTTTCAACCGTGGCGGAGGAGGATCAAGAAAATGAAAGATTGCGAGCAATGTGCGATCGATTCACGGCCCATACTGGCCAAACAGTTGATGTTGACAAGCATATGTACGGCTCCCCCGTCTCTGTTTCTGTGCTTCGCATGCGCTCCAGCTGCAATGGCGACTAACAAGATAAGGATGGATTTTATAGAGTCTGAAATGGCTAAGCGATACCGGCGCGATAATTCGACCGAAGTTGCGATGCATGATACACCTTCGGCGACTGAACCGAAAGCGGCTGCTCTGTCTTCTGCTGACCTTCCCCAACGCGAACCGGCGTCTCTTGGGAAACTGCACGAAATTGATCTTGGTCACGAGACTACGTTGCAGAATATTGCCCGTACAGAGGCAGCGACGAAGAGACTCGCCGGGGATGGCGATCCAAGCCCTCCCACCGAGCAGAGCTCCGGGCCCAAGATGGCCCCGGCAAATGGGGACCAGAAGACGTGGCGCAATCGGAAACGACGGACGAGTGAAGACATCGAACGAGATCGACTGGTGGAGGAAGTATTACGGGAAAGCAAATGTGAGTCTTCCTTACGGTTCATGATATTGCACTGGGACCAGATTTATCTGGGAGGTTTTTCTTCCTTCTCCAAGTCCTTTGCGCTGACGTATATGTCGATATTCAGTGGATGTCTACGAGGGGCCAGAAGAGGAAGGTGACGAAGCAGTGGGTGAGGATGGGCAAGCGGCCGATGATAGGGTGGCAGAGCAGTTCAGAAGGGACTTTCTCGATGCCATTCAATCCCGGCGTCGTGTTGCGCGAGCAAGGAATACAAAGACAACCAAGCCTGAGGCTCCGCGCGGGCCCAAATTGGGAGGCAGTAGAAGTGCCAGAGCAGCGATGCGGGAGATGCAAGAGAAGTCTACCCGTAAATGAGACATTGAACGTTGAGGGAGTTAGTATATATAGAATTCCCAGGAAATACATTTGGGAAGCTAAAAGACTTGAGGCGGGGCCAATTGGTATTTTATCTTATCTTTACTTCTCACTAATATGAATCAAGCTCAAGATTCAACGTCTATTTGGAATGCAAGTAGATTCAGGGAAGAGGCCATGACATACATCCAGTAATATATGTACTACTAGTAGTAGTATCTCATGGGGCATCAGTTTGGCTATGTACTACTATAGATAGATGTATATATTTATTCAACTCCACCGAGAGGAAACGCGGCATCGGTGGAGAATACCAGAACTGGAAAATAACTCCCCTCATCCACCCTCTTTTTCTCCCTCGCCATTTTTCCTTTGCCAATATTTTATTTTCTCTGTAGATTCATTTTCCCAAATCTGCAGTCCTCCAAGCAAACAATGGCTACACAGAAAGCTGCCCAGTGGGCAGCATCTCTATCGTATTCTTCGCTACCTCCGGACGCCCTCCAAGCGGCCATCCGGAGCTTCTACAACTGGGTCGGCTGCACTGTCGGGGGCAGCAATCACCCCGCTGCTTCCATTGCCCGGAACTCTTTGTCCCGCTTCTTCGGGTCTCCCACCTCAACATTGTTAGGTACTAATGGGCTCCAAGCTGATGCGCAGCATGCTGCGTTGATCAATGGAATTGCATCGCATGTCCACGACTATGATGACACGCACTTGGAGACTATCATTCACCCTACCGGGCCTGTTGCGGCAGCTCTTCTAAGCTTTGCGCAATCACTAGACCGGCCAGTATCTGGACAAGAATTCCTCACTGCTCTCGCCGCAGGGATAGAATTAGAATGCAAGGCTGGTCTGGCTGTCTGGCCGAGCCACTATGATGTCGGCTGGTATGTCTACTAGGCTTCTCGCCCCCACGGACCCCTCACCCAAAACAGCCCTGTTTGATGGACTGACACCATTATTTAGGCACATCACTAGTACTACTGGTTCTATTGGGGCAGCAGTGGCGGTGTCTCGTCTCCTCGACTTGAGCCCAGAGAAGACGGCTCATGCCATCGGTATCGCCGCTACCCAGGTGACTGGTCTTCGTGAGATGTTTGGCTCGCACACCAAGTCCTTTCACCCTGGGCGCGCAGCCCAAAACGGCCTTTTGGCGGCTATTCTTGCTGCAGATGGATATACCAGTTCTTTGCAGGCTTTGGAGGCCAAGCGGGGCTGGGTGAAGGTCGTGAGTAACGACGACAAGCTAACTCAGCAAATTGACAGCCTGGAATCCAATGGACAATGGGAGCTTGCAAAGAACGCCTTTAAGCCGTTCCCGTGTGGTATTGTCATACACCCGGTCATTGATGGCTGTGTCTGGCTACATGGTGAGCTGCAACGGCGGAGCCTCAGACTGCAAGATATCAAGAGTGTTCATGTCACAGTTCACCCACTGGTCTTGGAGCTAACGGGAAAAACAAAACCTAAAGATGGGCTGGAAGCCAAGTTCAGCGTTTATCACGGCGGCGCCATTGGCTTGATTCACGGAAAGGCGACACCGGCAGAGTATGAAGATGCCGTTGTCACAAATCCGGAAACGATCGAGGTACGAGACAAGTTTGTGGCAACGGCGGCAGAGAATATCCGAGCGGATGAATGCCGGATTCTCGTTGAATTTGAAGCCCCGGGCGTCCAGATAGAGAAGCATGTGCACCATGCAGTTGGCAGTATCGACGCCCCCATGACAGACAGCCAGCTCACGGAGAAATTTATTGGCCAGTGTAGTTCAGTTCTTGGCCCAGAACAGGCAAAGATAATCAGCGATTGGTGCTGGAACTTGGAAACAAAGGATGACATCCGGCAGATTGGACAGTTCCTATAGGCCATCGAAGCCGCATCTGGGGATAGCGGAGAATGATCCTCCGCGGAGAAAATGCGGGGAAAGACGGTTCCCGTCTTGTAGGAGATAACAATGTGCGATCATATAGCCGTTTTCCATTGACTTTGTACAAATGTGCGGGGAACGATGTTAAGAGCCTCGGAATTGTTTTGCTCATAAAGGCGATGGAAGCCTGGAACGGAGAGCACGGTTGAGGAGACAGCGATCTGTATCTACTACCTAGACAGCCAACAATCTAGCAACCATGAGCAACCGCACAGGGGATGCAGTCGAGAATCCTGACGTAAAGGCAGATGTATCAGAATTGGAGTATGTGAAGGGCAATGCTCCTGGAAATGCTGGCCCGACTTTCAGCATAGAGGATGAGAACCGCGTCTACCGCAAACTCGACTGGAATCTGATGCCCCTGGTCTTCGTCCTTTATAGTCTATCGGTCCTTGACCGCTCGAATCTGGGAAATGCGAAGATCGCAGGCATGGAAGATGACATAGACTTGAGTGGGAGGCGGTATGATTGGCTTGCTACTGCTTTCTATATAGCCTGTGAGTTATGAACCTTACCTAGACCATCAATTGCTTCTTGCAGCGACATGAGAAATCTGCTTGATCTTGGTTAGAGCATCTCCTAACAAGCGCAATCAGACATTCTGTCGCAATGGACGACAATCGGTTGGAAAGCGTTCCCACCACACCGGTGGGTAGGTGTCACTGTGTTCCTATGGGGGTTTGTTTCGACTATTCAGTCAGCATGTACAAACTGGGCCGGCCTGATGGTCTGCCGAGTCTTTCTGGGAATAATCGAGGCGATGTATGGGCCAGGGGTGCCCTTGTATCTGTCCTACTTTTATCCGCGTGAGAAACTCGGCCTCCGGACTGGCATATTCTTGTCAGGAGCCGCTCTAGCGAACGCATATGGGAGTGCTCTGGCGTATGGAATTTCCCAAGCCAAAGGGTCAATCGGACCATGGAGGATCCTATTCATCGTAGAAGGTGTGCCGTCATGCCTGCTGGCCATAGTTGCTTGGCTTTGTCTGCCCGATTCACCCAAGACAGCAAGATTTCTGGATGAACGGGAGCAAGAAATCGCGGTTGCACTCTCCTTACGACAACCTGGGGATCGAGAAACCCAGGGTCTGCAATTGAAGCAAGTGCTGGGATCCTTGCTTGATTATACGAGTAAGTACCCAAAGGCACCAGTCCTCCTGTGCCCCCTCTTCTAATGCATCCAAATAGGCTACCCCCCAGCACTAATGTACTTTGGATGCAATGTCTGCTTCGCCTCACTCCCATTATTTGTGCCGACCATCATCTCTGAAATGGGGGCTTTCACGACCATCCAATCAAACGGTCTCAGCGCTCCTCCATATGTCCTTTGCTGGATAGCCATTGTCATCAGTGCATTTCTGTCGGATCGCGTCAACTTGCGCGGGCCCTTCATCGTGGGTGGCGCACTCATAGCTGCCATCGGATACATTGTGCTAGCTACGCAGACCACGGTGGCAGTCAGGTACTTTGGCCTGTTCCTGGCGACCCAGGTCTTTGTGTCCGTAGCTCTCATTCTCACATGGGTTGGTAACACACACGCCACGGACTCCAAGCGCGCTGGAGCCTTTGCTATCCTGGCTACTGGCGGCCAATGCGGTCCGATTTTGGGAACGAACGTCTTCCCTGATAGCGACAAGCCATACTACCGCAAGGGGATGTGGATCTCGTGCGGCGCATGCCTGATTGTAGTGGTTATGGGATGCTGGCAGATGTATCTGCTATGGCGGGCGAATCGGCATCTGGATAGGGAATCTGAGCAGAATGGGGGCGATTTGAGTGGGAACCAATCCGAGGGGAAGAATGAAGCTGACAGGCCATTCCGGTATATTTTATGAAGTAATCAGATGGGGTACTAACTATTTTGAGTGAGAAGTATTACTATACAAGCGCACTTGCAGATGATATCAACCATGGACCTGTGGATTCAAGTGTGTACTTGATTGTTGAAGTGAAACTTGTGGGATAGTAATGTAAGAAAGATAATACGTATTTCATATTAGAGGCATCTTGATGTCGTGGATTGTTTTCTAGATTCATGGTCCAGGAACCAGGCAATGGATCCGCTGGGGGAGGAAACTCATTCCTCAGACGTCGAGACCGACCATGGACCCGGTCTGGAAGGGCCTTGAGCTTTGAAGAATGGGAAAGCTGAAGTATGGGATCGAGCCAACAAAACGCAGAGTGTGGAATGTGGAGTCGGGGACCTGCTCCAAGACCATGGGATAAGACCACATGTGATACTTGAACTTGACGACGTTTTGTCTGTAGATACATACATACAGGATTATGTATCAATTCGACCAGTAAAAGGGACAAAACGGTTTGGACCGTAAGCACAACAATACGCAGGCTGCCATCAAGAGACTACTATCACTCATTCAATTACTCTCACTCTCACTCAAAAGAGTGCCGGAGTCCTAATTCCCGCCCCACTGCGTGGCTTCGGCAGAGGATTGGGCCACACGATTTGGCCCATGATGGAGCCATTTTCGCCCTGACCACCCCAACGAGGCAGGACGTTTGCCAACCGCGTCTAATTATCTACTAGTTCTAGTTGTTTGAGACTCCTCCCGTGTGAGCGAAGTGATGTGGGAAGAAAGACAGAAAAGGGAAAAAAAGTAAGTTGAGCCCAGGTTGAAAGTTTGACGGTTATCTGTCCATGACAATGGGCTCCATGAAGAGAAAGCTAAACGATGATCGACCTTGCGAACATACTAAGTATCAACTGCTGACAGGAAGGGGAATACTTGGTTACTGATTCTGCACAGCTGACAGATGTTGGTAGGGTAGGGCAGGGCAGGGCAGAGAGGGCCAAGTCACTTTCCACGACCCCCACCAGGCAGCTTACCGACCAAGACTCAATTGACGGTGTGTAGGCGAGATGGTACGTCTGGAGTAGAATGAAGTAATTATACCAGGGCCATCCTTGCAATTTTATTTCGGGAAACTGGGAGATGAGAATAGTAACTCGAATAATCAACACGGACGGGAAGGTTGAAAGTCAAGCTTCTATCGGCTGGTAACTAGACCACTAACTAGTCTACTTGTTAGTTAAAAAAGGTCATTTCCCCCCCCCCTTCCTTGACCCATGATCTTTTGACTTTGGAATCTTCACTAGGCAGGCCACTCCAAGTGCATAGAAAAAAAAAGTATAAAAAAAGTAGCGCAGACAGACAGACAGAGAGAGAGAGAGAGAGACAATCAGTCAACTAGCCTATGTTAGTACAAGATTTTCATCGTATCTTTGCTATGAATAGTTCGAGTCTCCATTTTCAGGTTTCACAACGAGACTGACTTCATGTATCGTGACTGGGTTTTGTGCCAGGACGGTGGCGCCGGGAAAAATAAAAAAAAAAAAACGATCGAGCCCAGAAATAAGACGACTAGCTTCATTAGCGGCAAGTCCAGACTGGCCCCAGCCGCCCGTTCCTGACCAACCCGCTGCTCTTCTGGGGTGGGGACCTGATTACATGCCCAATGAGAAGCTCGCATGGGGCGAGTTTCGAGACACTCAGGGGCAACTTAGTACTCCCAGTTTGTGTATGGTCAGAGTCTCGAACCACCTGCCGGGCCAATGGTCGTTAGCCAACAATAATACCCAATAACATTACTACTACTATCTGGTACCTGACAGTAGGAAGTAGTACTACTAGAGTGGTGGTAACGCAGAGTACGGGCTGTAAGTCGCAGGTAACTTTAGAACAGAGAGAAAGAGAGAAACGAGACAGTGACTGACCGAGACAGGCAGCTACTCTACTATCCAGTCCCATCCCATCTCATCTTTCCTTTCACACATCACTTCCCCTCCCTCTCTTCTCTTTCCCCCTCCTCCACCCCCATCATCCTCGGAGTCTGGTTGTCTCCATCCAACATTCGTTCTGCATGGTTCTTTCTTTCTTCCCTTTTCGTCGCTCATCCGTCGGTTTGATCTGTTAGCCAGCATCTGTCCCTTTCGCGCGTTTCCACTCCTTACTCACAACCCTATCACTCACTTTCTCTGCCTAGCCGCGCGCTCTCCTCAACCCACCACCCCCCCCCCCTTTTCTTCAGTCTCAAGAGTTGAGCGCCTATCCTCTTCTCTCGTGCTGGCAAACAATCTGTTTGCCCACAAGACTCTCTTTTTCTCAAACCTCTCTGCCCCCGTGCTTCATGAATCGCGCTCTCCTGCCTACACTCTCTTAACGTTTGCGACAGACAGCGAGTGATACAAGTCAGTGAGAGGGTGTGGGTGCGGTTCTCACCCTCTTTGGAACGGCATCCCCTCTCGTGGCTTGCTTCGATATCTTGTATTGCGGTTCTGCACACTCTTTCGAGCATCTGTTTGCAGCTTCAACAGTTTGATTCACCTTCTCTAAGCGATTTCATTCTACACAGGTTGATCCTGTCAACAATCTCCGTATCATCAGGCGAGCCGAGTTGCTGCTTGATCTTGATCGGCGATTCAATCTTGCGTCAAATATACCCTTATAATCGTCGCCAATCTTTCGAAAAGGAACTCTCCCTTACCTGCATAACCCCTGTGAAGAATTTCTTGATGCTGGCACCTTGAACATTCACAGCCTTGGGTAACAACATCCATCAATTGACAATATGCGGATCATTCCTTCTTTTTCGACCCTTACGGCGCTGGGTCTCCTGGCCACTCGAGCCCTCGCTGCCGATACCCTCAGCACCAATGGTCTGATAACGTGTATGTCAGACTCGGCTATCCAAGTCGACAAACTATCCGTTACCTACACCCGTTCTACTAGAGAGATCGTCTTCGATGTTTCCGGCACCAATGGGGTAGAACAGAATGTCACTGCCATCTTGACCATCTATGCCTACGGCAGTCAACTGTACTCCGAAACTTTCGACCCCTGCAGCAGCAAATACTACGTGGAGCAACTCTGTCCCGTTGCTGCCGGTAGCTTCTCCGCGACTGGCACCCAGACCTTACCTGAATCGATCGCCAGTGAAATCCCTTCCATCGCCTTCGCCATCCCAGACTTGGATGGTCAAGTGAAGCTTCAATTGCTGTCCAAGACCGACAATGACGAGCTGGCATGCATCCAATCGGAATTAACCAATGGCAATTCTATGCAGATTGCGGGTGTATCCTATGCTGCTGCTGGTGTGGCTGGTGCGGCATTGGCCGTGAGCGGGCTGTCAGCTCTGGGTGCTGTTGGCCACCCTGGTGCTGTCTCGTCTAGTCCCAGCTTCGGTGATGTCGTGAGTTGGTTCCATACCATGGCCACTAATGGAATGCTCAGTGTCAGCTATCCGACGGTGTACCGCAGCTTTTCTAAGAACTTTGCCTTTAGCACGGGCTTGATCCCTTGGGGTCAGATGCAGGAGTCCATCGATAACTTCCGAAAGTCGACCGGCGGCAATCTCACCGACAACAGCTACCAGTATCTTATCAATGCCACGCTCGTGTACTCTGACGGCACGGATTCTAGTTCCAAATCGAAGCGAGGACTGGATCTGGTTACAGGCTTGGCTAACCTAGCTGCGCGCGAGGTTTCGACTTCGTATAGCAGCAACACTACTTCGTCGTCTAACAGCACCAGCGATGATAGCAGTAGTTTCGAACATTTCGTCTCCGGTATTGAGGCCTATGCCGAAGAGCTCACCATCCCTCAAGCCAATACCTTCATGACTGTTCTGCTCATTTTCGCTATCCTAATTGCCGCTATCGCAGTTGGTATCTTGCTGCTCAAGGTCATCCTCGAAGTCTGGGCTCTCTACGGCTCTTTCCCGGACAAACTTACCAACTTCCGCAAAGACTACTGGGGTCTCCTGGGTCGGACCATTACCAACTTGATTCTGCTGCTGTACGGCGTTTGGGTGATCTGGTGTGTCTATCAGCTCAGCAGTGGGGATTCATGGGCGGCGAAGCTCTTGGCTGCTGTGGCGCTCACAGTTTTCACGGCTGTGTTATTGTACTTTGGTCTTAAGATCATGTTCGTGGCTCGAAAGTACAAGAAGGCCGAAGGCGATGCGTCCCATTTGTACGACAACGACGAAACCTGGCGCAAGTACAGTCTTTTCTACGACAACTACAAAAAGGACTACTGGTGGGCTTTCGTCCCTGCCATTGTATACATGTTTGCCAAGGGTTGCGTTATCGCTGCTGGAGATGGTCATGGGCTTGCCCAAAGCGCTGGTCAACTCATCGTGGAGGCTCTCATGCTCACTCTTCTGCTGTGGAACCGTCCTTACGTTGCCAAGTCTAGCCAGTGGATCAACATTTCAGTCCAAGTGGTTCGTGTCTTGTCAATCGCGTGTGTGTTGATCTTCGTCGACGAGCTGGGACTTTCGGAAACGACCAAAACTGTTACCGGCATTGTCCTCATTGCTATTCAGTCGGGACTGAGTGGTATCTTGGCCATTCTCATTGCCACCAACGCCATCATCCTCTGCATTCGCGAAAACCCTCATGCTAAACGGAAGAGGGAAGCTAGTAAGTGATCTAGTCACCGGGTTTGACACTCTTTGCGTTGCTGACTGTTGTGTTATTAGACAAAATGAATCGTGACCTCGACGATCTGACCCCTCTTGACGCCCGTGAATCTCTGCTCATGGAGCATCCTCCACGCAAGGATTTCGCTGAAATGAGCAAGTTCAACTTTACCGGTCCTTACGAACCTTACCGGGATCAACATGATTCGAAATCGCGACACAGCCCTACAGGTAGCACGGATCGGTTGGTTGATTCAAGCTACCCTCTTGAAGACATCAATGGTCGAAGTATAAGTCGAGAAAGCCGCCGAAGCCATGACAGCCATGAAAACCCCGAAAAGCACCATGCCACAACCCCGGGCTATGGGTTCGCTTACTGAAGCCCGTTTGCGCTGGATGGCACATGACGACGTACCAATACTTTCTTTTCTCGACCCAATATTCATCATCTTACATATTGAACATAGACTTTTTGTGTCAGGCAAATTTGACGAATTTAGCGTACTTGATTTGGTTGATGGTGGATCTTGGTATTTATTGCAATTTTGTTACGCCGCTCCTTTTTCCCTCTCTGACTCTCTTACTACCCTTTGTCTGCTTTTCTGTTCTGTCCCATCTGATTCCCACCATTGCCATTACCATTCATACCTAGTTCTAGCTTTCAGGCTTTCTTGTAAATTGGCGCTCATAGGGGATTGCTCCTACGCATTGTCTTGACCCCGTTATTGTGGATAGCCTGCGGGGAAATAATGCGTTGACAGGACGCGCAAGCTGCACTCTCTGCTCACACACTCAGCCGGATTTGAGGGTGCTGAGACCTACATCTTGTACTAGAAAGATAGAACTCCAAATTGAAAGCATTCAACCTGAATATACTCATCCCTAGTCATGATCATAGCGATTGCAAAACCCGAACTGGATGGTCAAGGTCATCTAATATCTGGGGAAAACTTGGTTTTGACTACGTAAGTCCTGCAGCTACGTTGCGATGAGCGCAGGATACGGCTTGGAGTTGGGAAAACAAGGACAGTGATTTTGGTTTTCGAACTGAAAAGTTGACATAAGAAGTACTGAGGGTAACGCCAATTTAGATTATATGCAACAACACCGACTCTGGGTTTTTCTGGTTCGATTCGAAACCTTCCGCCGAGGAGACTCCAGACTTCGACAGGGGGTAAAAAGCAGCCATGAGAGGGAAAATGAATGAAAGCATCACTCGGAAAGTTACATTAGACATCATCAATGATGGCAGGACGTCGCCTCCCCTCACCAACCGTTGTAATGGTCATACTATGAGTATGAGATAAGATAGATCCATCCCCCCATTGTTACGAAAGGCAGCAGCAGTTGCAATAGGGGAGGCGGGAAAACTTGATGGGAGGAGGACCAAAACCATGACAGTAACAAGAGAACGGAAAGAGACGACAGCAGAACGATACACCTATTCGCACACACAAAAGAAGGATACCGGCTTATCCCCGGGCATAGGGATGGAAGCCGCGGTGTCCTCCTCGTCCACCTCCACGATAATTGGCGCCTGGCTTGCCAGCGTTCTTGGGTCCTGTGGGAGCGTTCGCCGGGGCAGCGCTTTGAGGTTGCGGAGTGGGTCCTGCATCTGGGTCAGCTAGCGGAAAGGCAGACATCTATAATCATCACATACCGCGTCCCATGCTTCCAGCACGGTTCATGGCCTGGGGTCCAGTAGGAATGTTAGGCTGGGGTACTTCATCGTACATGCCTTCCCACGAAGTGGGCCCGCCCTGTTGGTACGGCGAAAAGGCCCGGTTTTCCATGGCTCGGCGTACCTGCTGCTGCTCATACTTTTGCTGTTCAAAAGCAATTTGTTCCTGGGCGTTATAACCAGGCCCCCCTCGAGGACCAGTAAAGTTCCCATTTCCATTAGCACTGCCTGGTGTTCCTCCACCACTACCACTACCACCACCACCACCACCTCCTCCTCCCATAGCATTTCCCAGTTGGGCCGGCATGCCCCCGACGTTGCTGCCCTGCCCTTGGCTCTGCATCTGCTGCATCTGTTGCATTTGCTGCATCATAGCGGGGTTCATCATGTTCGGCATGGCTTGAGGAGTTGCGCTCTGCGAAGGAGGACTGAGACTGCCTTGAGGCTGATTGTTGCCCATCTGCATCTGTTGCATCTGCTTCATCTGTTGCATTTGCTGCATCATGGCAGGGTTCATTCCACCCATTCCCATTCCGCCCATTCCCTGACCCTGAGCGGCGGCGACAGCCATCTGCTGTTGCATCAAAGCAAAATACTGCTGCATCCTTTGCCAGTACTGTGCCATCATTTGTGGTGTTAATCCACCAGCCATGTTGGCCTGTCCCGGTGCACCCGCTTGCTGCTGGGAACCATCACCCCCCATTTGACCACCCTCTCGGAAAGCGTCCCTGCCGCGGCGGAACCTGCGGTCTTCCTCATCACGCAGGTTGCCTCTTGGCTGAGCTTTCTTGACCTCTATGGGCTTCCCACAGATCTCCAAGGGGCCCGACAGAGCGGCTTCCACGGCAGTCTCGCTATCGAAGGTCACAAATCCGAAGCCACGGGGACGACCAGTATCCTTGTCGATCATCAGGGTGGCATCGATGACGCGGCCAAATTGAGCAAAGAATTCTTTAAAGTCATGTTCGTTGGCCTCTTGGCTGACACCACCAACAAAGATCTTGCTAGTCTTCTCTTGCTCGTCACGCGGGATCGCACGCTTAGGATCGATCTGTCATTCAAAAATAAGCTTATAATTCGACAATGGTCTGCGTGTTAGGATGAAAGAGGTTCTTACAATCTTCCCATCCAGGTAGTGCTCCTTGACCATGACAGTGTTCACTGTCTTCGGATCTCTGAAAGTCAAGAACCCAAAACCTCTAGAGCGACCAGTAGCACTGTCTCGCATCACAGTGCATTCCTGTACCTCTCCAAATTGAGAGAAGTAGTCCTTCAGAGATTCTAGGTCATTGTGTTAGACACGCTGTACTTGATTTGAATAGAACTGGTAGTGTTTGGAATATACATACGATCCGTAGTTTCCCAGTTCAAACCTCCGATGAACATTTTCCTAACCCATACCGATATCAGCAAAGGAGGCCACGCCACGAGGGCTTGAAGAAAGCAGACAAAGCAAAAGAGAAGAAAAAAAAAAGAATAGAGACACGAAGAGCGAGAAAATAATCTTGATATCAGAGGCGGGCATAAGTAGTAGACAGGTGGACAGGAGCTGAGACTTTGCTGCTGGGAGGCGGGGGGCTGATGGCCCATGCTTTTGATAGAAACAGGCACTTGTTCGGGGAGGCTAATTGTGAATGCTATTAAGCTGATCCTGAAGTTCCGGTCTCCCTAATATGGGGGTATCTAACTCCCCGCGCTGATCGAGTAGTGTCTGTTGCGCGAAGGGCATAGGTTGTGCTTGAGCAAAGTCAATCATGGGACTGATTGTAGTGACAGCCCGTGCATGTGCTTCAGGTTTCCTTGAAACGGGCCGACTTCCGAGTCTTGTATACACCGACCGGGGTGGCCAGAGGGCGGCTGGCTAATGAGGACAGAGATATCTCTAGTCATTCGACCACTGGTTTACGGGGCGACCCAGTGGATAATAAAAGGCCAGGCGAGATGTATCCCACGACAGAAGAAGTGCGCGTGAGTGACAAAAGAACCACGGGTTGGAGCATGGCAGGCGGATTAAGTCAACTTTCTTTTCTTTTTGTTCTTGTTTCCCTGGACCAAGGATCCTCTGCCTGTCTGTCTAATCATGTCCGAAGCTAGGTAATCTGATCGACATTGCCCAACCAGACAGCCAAGGCTGTTATTCCTTGCTGTGCACTATCAAGCTATATCGACAAGAAGCTATATAGTATCGGCTGTACTATAGTCGCTCGCGACAAGGGATCGCAGTGTCAGGAAACCGAAGTAAATCTCACCGCGGAAGTCATACCGACGGTGGATTGCTGAGATATAAACAAGTCGAGCACGGCCGAGGTGGATTTGCCTTCGCCCGAGTGATTTTGATATCCATACCCAAGAAAGAGCCTGAAAGCTGCATGTCCAAGGCTATCCGAGAATTCGTCCATCTAGCAACAACGATGACCCAACCGGATAAGACCTCGACTTAGATTAAGAACCTCATCCTTCTGCCCATGACGCCAAGCCCGTATATCTTAGTAGAGCCCACCCCAGGAACCATTGGCCCAGCCGCTGAAGATTTTTGATGCGCAGCTTCCAGCGCCCAACTCACTAGTTACGTTCACGGTGCACAGCAGGAAAGGCGGTACGTGTGCGAATATCACCGGCATTCCCAACCTACCATGAGCCATCCCCGCCAGAGGATAGAAAAAGAACCCAGCATAAGTGTGAAACGGGGTCGATTTATATCGCGCATGAACACTCACGTGTCCAATTGCAATCAAGGTACAAGCAAGGAAAACAAAAATTGCACGAAGTCTCTAACAGAGGTAGCACTTACCCGTCTTCTTTAATACCAGTGCCTCGAGGCTCGGACTCACCACCACCAGACATGGCATGATGTGCACGTCCAGTACCTACATGATCCGTGCCGTTCTGGTGGACTCCTTGATACGGGTGATGGTATGAAGCGTCTGTCTCGAATTCGATGGGGCCAGTTTCAACAGACTGAATAGGGATTTGGGAAGGATTGATAGGTGCAGCCGAGGGCATAGGATCGACAGATTTTGAAGTTTCCGTACTGGGTATGGTATGGCTTGTATTGTCGTCGGCTTCATAGCTAGAAAGAAAACATAGAGTTTAGAAACTGCCTAGACAATCCCGGTAAAATGGAGCACCCTACAGATCCGCGAAAAGATCTTCCTCAACGTCCTCGGGTTCAGCCATGGTGATCTTGTAACAGAGCAATTCAGGTAAGAATCAGGTCGCACGGAGGACAGGAAAGAAAGGTGATCAAGGTGACCAACTCTGAGATGGAGGCAACCGAGCCAGTCAAATCCGACCTAGAGAGGTATCAACGAACCGATGGCGACGAACTATTATCGCCAAAATATTGCCTCGGTGGAGATGGTAAGAAAAACAACTAGTTAAGTAAAGAGAAGGAAAAGGAGAGCAACAAGAGCAAGGGTGAAGTGGGTTAGTCGTAGAGACAAGGAGCAGAGAGGGAGGGAGGAAGAAAGAGGTGGAGGAGAGGAGAGGAGAAGCAGCTACACGGCGGAGGTTGAGGCGAGAGCGACGGGGAGAGAGAGTCAAGAGTGACGGACTGGCTGACTGGGCAAGTACGCTGTGCTGGTACTGTAAGAGATTCCCGTCGGTAATAGTATGTATTGTACTGTAATGGATCCTGGCCATCGGTAAGGAATCTGAAAAGTACTATGTAGTAGGTATGAAATTATGATAATTCAACCTGCAAGAGTAAATTGATGCATATTGAAATTTTTAAAATTAAAGAATACTCATTATTTATGATTATATGTGACTCTAGTATATAGATCTGCATTCTAAATTATCGGAAAATATACTCTACCAAGATCTCTCCATTTTGGGAGGTACTGCTTCATCACAGTACCTGACGAAAGCTACCAGGTGGGTATTGTCCGTAAGGGCTAGTATCAGTAGTCAGTAGACCTTTACGCAAGACCTTATCGAGTGTTATCCCCCGACCAGCAAAACATCATCAGAAGACTACGAAGTAAGTATTATGGCATGACAAACCACCAAACCCAATTACAATTACCCTGATTCCTCCCCCGCGCAGAGATCTGTAAGCCAAAAAAGTAGATCAATCCAGATCAACGTTGTTCTTTCGGGGTGTTGTTGCTGGGAAACCCCTGCCAGCTTTGGACGCAGCACCGAATCCACGTGCCGCAGCCCTCCCCGCACTCGGCTTCCGTGCTTCTCTCCATGTTATTCGATCCCCAAGACTTGCTCAATTGATGCTATCGTTGCCTCCGCACTCCTTAAAAACGCAATGGCTGCGAGGAAGGGCCAACAGGTGAGCGTGACCTTAGCTTCATAAGCCTGATTTCTTTCAGTTTTTTATGCAATATCTAGCTAACCCAATCGCTTTTGACTCTCTGTAGGAGATGGTCCAGGTTGGTTCGTACCTCTCACACCCCCCGTCTTTTGGGTTCCAGATCCAGTGGCTGATATAGCTCCCCCACTTCCAATGAACAGACCGTGCTGAGTATGTTTCACTCCCCATCGCTCAATGTCCCCTTGTGGACCATTGAAGGAATCTCATAGCATCTATTTTTGAATTTCTCGCGCTAATCCTCCCCTGAAAGGCGGGTGAATTCGCCGTTCTGGAAGGGAAGATCGGTATCCCATAATCAAGCGGCCTCGACGCAACATGAGCAGAACACGGTTGTTGGTGCCTCATACTCGCACGCTGACATACTAAAGTTAGTGCATTGCATGTCATTTGGTTTTCTCCTCTCTTCGCGCTTGGCTCTTTCATTTCATTGACCTGTGCGCCTCCCCCAATAGAGGGATCTCGCAGCAGCATGCGCGCCCGCGGACACCGCCTCGGTCATCCTCTGCCAATATCCAACACACGTCGCTTTCACCCCTACGGTCGGGCGGGTGGTCTACCTCCCCTCATACTACTTCCTACTCTGACATAATGGATGGCGGGATCGATTCCTGGGGCCCCGACCGATTGGGAGAAGATTACGAAGATGAAGAGGGGGAGGAAGACATTGTCTACGATGACGATGAGGACGAGTTTGGTCTCCCTAGTATTACCAGCATGCGGAAGAAACAGTCGCAGCGAGCTGGCACTTCTCAGCTTAAGCCTGCTGACCCAGGTGGGGGGCTTGCTAGTACCGCCTCATCACTCGGGGTTGGTTTAGGAACCAATCGGCAACGGGCCAATAGTTCGGACATCGCTGAAGAGCGCGGTGTCCCTATGTATCCTACTGCTGGAACTGGGGAGGGTAAGATACTGCGACCTCAGTATAAAGAAATCCTGAAAGGTATGAAACTGTCCTCGTTATAACGCTGGAACGTACTAACCTCTTTTCTTTTTCAGACCCCGCCAACGCCTTGAACCTCATAAACCACGCGCCCCCTCCCAAAAATGCATCGCCCAAAGAGCTGGATATGTACAACAGCCGCATTTCGAGAATAAACAAGTTCAAACGTCTTCTCCAGACAAGCACCGTTCCCTTGTCAGATCTGAGGAATCTGGCCTGGTCAGGGGTCCCCGATGAAGTTCGCGCAATGACCTGGCAACTGCTCCTTGGATACCTCCCCACGAATAGTGAAAGGCGCATTCCTACCCTCGAAAGAAAGCGTAAGGAATATTTAGACGGGGTTCGACAAGCCTTCGAACGCGGGAGTGCGGCTGGTTCTGGAAATCCGCCTTCGTCGAGCGCTGGGCGTGGCAGGGGCCTGGATGAGGCAATATGGCATCAAATCAGCATTGATGTTCCTCGGACTAGCCCTCATATTCAACTTTACAGCTACGAAGCTACTCAACGATCGTTGGAAAAGATCCTCTATGTTTGGGCTATCCGACACCCGGCGAGCGGATACGTGCAAGGTATCAATGACCTCGTCACACCGTTCTGGCAGGTCTTTTTGGGCACGTATGTAACTGATCTTAATGTTGAGAGGGGCATGGATCCTGGCCAGTTGCCCAGGAGTGTGCTGGATGCCGTGGAGGCAGATACGTTCTGGTGTCTTACCAAGTTACTTGATGGTATTCAGGACAATTATATCTATGCTCAACCGGGTATTCACCGACAAGTTAGGGCACTGCGTGATTTGACGATGCGCATTGATTCTACACTGGCCAAGCACTTGGAGCAGGAGGGAGTAGAGTTCATGCAATTCAGTTTCCGGTGGATGAACTGTCTTCTCATGCGTGAGATGAGTGTACAAAATACTATACGGATGTGGGACACGTATATGGTGAGCAAACCAAGGTTATCCCTATTGCACCAGATGTAGATCAGGTATGCTGACCATATCATTAGGCAGAGGAGCAGGGTTTCTCGAGGTTTCACCTATACGTTTGTGCAGCCTTCCTTGTGAAATGGTCAGACCAGCTGGTGAAGATGGATTTCCAGGTGGGTATAATTTTAAAGGTT